TTGGCTGTTTCCTGATTCGTCTCAGTGATAAAGCTATTGGATATATTCTGACGTACAAGTGAGTACTGGTTTACTTCTATAAACCTGGTTCATTTATTTTTAATTGCTATTTTAAGCAGATTTTTCATATGAACAGATTTTTCATATGAACAGATTTTTCATAACTTCCTCATAAATTAACTCTGCTTCTTGGAATATTAAATAATAAAAATAAGCAGCACCATCAAATATGCCTTTATTTTTAGCACTCCATCCAAACTTTAGACTTTTGGAGCTTTGGAGACTCAGAAATGTCCAATGTAATTTTTTATTTTTTATTTTTTGGCCAATTTTACCATTAATTTAAAAGTTTGAGTTTTACATATGAAATAATTGCAACAGCTTTCTAAAAATATTCTGTTTTTCTTTTGCAGAGGCAGAGATCGATGTCGCCACTTTGTGATAAGCCAGAGCGAGACGGGACGGTTTATAGTGTGCGGAGACACAGAGGGACACAACACTTTGTTCGACCTAATAGAACACTATAAAACAAACCCAGTTGAGCCCTTTGGAGAATATCTGACATTTCCATGCTATGGGGTGAGTTTTCACTCATTTTACTTTTTTTTTTTTGTTTTGTTTTTTTAACAGGATTTGAGCAGTCTCCTAACTGTTGTTTTTGTTCTTATAGGATGTCAATGAGGACCTCTATGATATCATCCAGGTCAACCCCAGAGAAAAACCGGCTGCTCCTCTCAGAGCAGCAAAGAAAGTACATAAGCAGCAGATGAACTCAGCCACAGAGCAGCAACCAGTGCGGGCACCAAGGATTAACAGGACTCAAGAGGTGAGTCCAAAGAATAAAAAAATAATAGAAACATAAATATATATTTTCTGTACGAAACATAAGACACGTAAATATATAATTTTGACTTCTATTTATTTACATACTTGTTCAACTTTATTGTGTTTTGGCATTGTCTTTAATTGTGAGTTTATGAGAAGGAAACTGCAATTTCATTGTTGCGTCTACTATGACAAGTCTATCTTGATCTAATTATTTACTAACTTGTTTATCTGGAAATACAACAAAATTTTACATGATGGCCGGGTTTTCAAATAAATGTTTTTGTTTTCTTAAAAATAGGAAGTACCACCTTTGCCACGGAGGACCAGACACGTTGAGAGCGCCCCAGTCAGTGACAACGATGGGGTTCTGTATGCTCAGCTTAGGAAGCAAACGCCTAGAGCCCATCACACCTCCAGGGACAAGTCCCCCGGATCAAATCAAGGCAAAGCCGAGAGGCTGAACACTAAGGAGCAAAAGAACGGCAGGTGTAGTCCTTCATCTGACCCTGAATCTCTCTACTCTGAGCTCAACACGCTTGACAGCAAGAGCATGTCCCTGCCTCTGCTGGACAACATCTCTGATGGCGAACAATGCTACAGACTGAGCGTACCTCCGGACACGCCGCCGCGACTTTCCCCGAGGCCAGTCCGGCAGGCCTCCGGCGGCATCTCACAGTCAAACAGCAGCCACAGCCTGGACGCCCTGAGCGACCACTCGGTCTATCACCTGGCTGGCAGCCACAGCCCAACAGCATCTGAAACGGCATCATCCACAGAGCAGCTCGAAGACTCCCTGTACGCCGAGGTCTCCATTGAAGCCCCCGTCGTTGATAACGACAACACTTATGAGATCCTCCCCAACCACAAGGAACCCGTCAAGCCCAAAGCCAACAGCAACACTCAAGAGCCTGGGGAGGAGACCAAACGCAAGTGTAACCCCGGGTCCTGGGGGATAAAAGTGAGTTGCAAGCTTTTCTTTCAGTACTGCTTCATTTATTATTTATTTTTGCGTTATTTTCTAATATTGACAGGTTATATATTTACTTTTTGCAGAATGATAAATGGAAATGGCTTTTCCCCGAGACCAAGAGGAAGTGACAAACCAACTAACGAAGAAAAGGCTCACCTAATTTCACTTATCTAACACTATTTTGCTACTTCTGTTGTATATTTGCTTTCAATGTACATATTTATTTAAAACCGATCAAAGTTACCCTTGTACATCTGATTGAATTTATTAAAGTTGTTGAAAATGTCTAAAATTGCTTCATTAAGCCCATTTCAGTAAAGTAGACATATTCAAATCACTTTTTTTAAGAGCTACAACTAAACTACTGTGAGAGATAATAAGCACTAACTGCGTGTTTATATATGGGCATGTAACCATGGAGGAAAAACAAACATTTAACGGAAACTTTTATGTAAAATGTTGTCATCTGGAAGGGAAGAACAAGCTGTAGGGGAGAATGTCAAATGTATTGCCTCACATGAGTTGCTGAAGATATTTTACCTTTAGTCCAGATTAATGAGCCTGTTTGGCCACTTGGAAATAAGAAAATAAGCAAGGTTAATGATAGATGACCTCTGCTTCCTAATAAGGAAACACTAATGCAAAATGCTGAGCTGTTGTGGAACGGCAGAGGCATTTCTATGTGCAGATATCAAAATGCAAATAACTGCTGAATTAAAACGTAGGAGAAATACCTTCCAGTGTTATCAAAATTCTTGCTGTGTACGGGTCGCTCTTACTGCTTTAGCTCTCCATAGCTGCCTGGAGAAGCATTCCTGTAATGCAAGGCCTCGTGTGGGCACGTTCAGAGAAATACAGTGCGCTCACTGGGGAAAATTTGCTGAAAGGCGTGCAGCTGATATTTAAAAATGTTTTTTGCTGCCATCAGAGCTTTACTTATTTTCACAGAAAACTAATTTGCATAAAGATTTTTAAAAGTCCGCATTCAACAGCAATGGGGAAATAAGCAGAAGGTTCTAAAATCCCTTTTAGTATCTTTTATCATGTGCCTTTCTTTTTTCTTTACTTTTCTGGTTACTGCTTTACTGGGGCATATAAACGATGATAAAGCTCATATTCATGCTCGTGTGCCTACATGAATTTGTGCAGACACACGACGCAGTGTATCTGTACTAAAACAGAAATACATCAGTTGCAGCATTGCATGTGAAACAGAAATTTTAGAAATTAGAATATAAGGTGTTTCCCCCTATAAGTCCTCTAAGGGAAAAAAAGGGTATGTTAAACTGCCGAAATGTTAATCATCCAGTTTTTGTGACCTTTCTGCTACCAGCTCTTTCACAACCAAGAACTGCATAATAAAATGTCGCTATTAAGAAAATTAATAACAGTGTAAAGTTGTAGCAGATCATCATGTAATAAGTGTGTGGTTGTGCAACAGTGGAAACAAACTACAAGTGGTGTAAAGCTGCAATGGATAATTATTGCATAAGTTCCTCATTGAGCAATACTGTCTCCGTATGATATTATGAAATACACTTCATCTACATCAAATTCACATAACATGAAACACTTCACATAGAAATGCTTATTGACTTATTCTTAGTCATTGCAGCACATAAATACACTCAGACTCATGTTATTCCACTGGAGCTGCGGCTTTATGTTTTAGGAGTGAATCTCCCCTCCATCAGCTCTTTCTGTGTCCCCTATGGCTTATGTGTAAAATGACTTATGGCTTCAGTGGGTTAGCGATCTTCCTAGTCTTCAATGCAGTGTGTGAGTTTTTTTCACTTTTGGTGTTAGAAACGTTTACTCATCATCCCATTATCACGTTGCACTGTAGCTTTTTTGCTGATGATCCCAGTAATTATCGAGGCTCCTGAATATTTTATTTAAAAAAATAAAGAAAAAATTGGGAGAGAAGAGAAGAGTAATCTATTTACTGCCCTCTCAAAAGAGTTTAAGTCAGTCAGACAAATACAGCCGTTTGGACTAAAGATTTATAGAACTACCTACAGGTCATATATAAATAACGGCAGAAACAAAGTGGGCTTGGTACAGAGTGCAAAGAATCAACACAGAACACTGTGCTCAATACTTGCATAATGCAAATCCTTACCACCAAAACCAACACCTGGTAATCATCAACCATCATAGGCAAGACCATTTCCTCTTGTTTTCCAATGAGATTGCCTCTGTGTGCAGGATTCAAGAATGTGTTTGAATACGGGGACAGATTATTCCTGACTACATCTTCCTGAAGTAAAATGATTATGTTAATTCCTAACAGAAAGCAGCTGTCCAAACCAACTTGGCACAAGATGAAAATATTCATTTGAGTTCAAATTCAAATGGATAACTTGATGTCACTGATGGAATCATGACCACTGCTTTCTAGCAGAAAAGGAAAATGTCCAGGGATAAGTTTGTGAACATATGACTTTGGGGATGGTGCTTAACTTAGCGTCAATTTAAAAAACAAAAGCACCAAATACATTTGGATAGTCGGCAATAGAGTAACGCAACATAACGTTCCATTAGAAGCAAAGGAAAAACCACATGCATATCTACACAAATTGCTCAAGTGAATCCTGCATATGTAAGCCACGCCCTTTGGTTCCCCAGCTGCATGTTCAGAAAGCACACAAGGCCTATGTCCTTTCCAGATTGACTAGTATGAAGTGAAAGGGAAAAGGGATCGATGACCATCTATGGGGAGCTAACATTCTATATTAAAATTTATTTTAATTAGTGACATGTAATGTTGAAAATTTCAGATAGCCAGAATTTTTTTTATAATCAGCTATAAGTCATAATCATCAAAATCATTAGAAAATACTTGAAATACATTGTTTATTTCAGCAACTCAATTTACTAAGTGAAACACATTATTTAGATTCATTACACACAGACTTACATTTTCAAGCCTTTATTTCTGTTAATTTCCACATACAGCTAATGAAAACATTTTGAATTAGACTACACCATCAGACCAATAAAAAATAATTTTAATACATAAATATATCCATCCATCCGTCCACCCATTTTCTGTACACCCTTGTCCCTTAGTGGGGTCAGGAGGGTTGCTGGTGCCTATCTCCAGCTAACATTCCAGGTGAGAGGCGGGGTACACCCTGGACAGGTCGCCAGTTCGTCGCAGGGCACATACATATATGCTTTATGAAAAATAACTTTAATCTGAATAAAGTTTTTATTTTCAAAAGGTTTGTTTAACATTGCTTCTGTCAGACTATCAGATGTAGCTCCACTCCAGCAGCTTGCCATCATCAGCATGCGAATGTGTGAGTGAAGAGAAATGGCTCATTTTATTGTGAAACATCTTTACGTGTCCAATTAAAGCCCTATTTAAGGCACATGTCATTTCATTCAATTCTATTTTTAATCTGACAAAAGAGACTCATGAGAACACAGATTCTTATTTACTAAACATGACTGGATTGGATTTTGAGGCAACTGTATACTTTTACCCTAAATTTGGGCTTGCAGGTTTTCTTTAGATAAGATCACATTCAGAAGAGTTTACTGCCTAACTGAAGGTCAGAGTGGTGATGTGGCAGGGATAGCACTGGTTCAGTCCCCAGGTTTATGAAACTGCTGACATCCGAACGGTCAAACCATCCATCTCAGATACGGATATGAAAGGTGCTGGAAGAGTATAGAAAACAGCAGTGTTGATTTCAATTAATAGGAATGTTTTTTGGAGAAACAACTCTACAACATAGGGTAAAAACATTATTTAAGTTAGCATTACCTTAGAAAATCTGGAGCCCTGGATATCATGTTTTCAAAGTCAGTGTAGGAGAGTTTATTGTCTCCATCCAAATCTGCCTCCTCGATGGCTTTCTCACACACCAATTCAACCTCCTCAGGAGTCAACTCCTCCTTTGTCAGCTTATTTAAAGTTTTCTCAAGATCCTCCTTGCACAGGTAATTATCCACATTGTAATCTAAGATGGAAATAAATCTGAGTGAATTACTTTGAAACATAATTTCGTAAAATTAAATGTTATAAAAAGGCATAAATGCCTTTTTACATGTTGTTATTACCATATATCTTAAAGGCATAAATGGCCTTAAGTTCTCTTGGAGCCATTTCACTGAGGACTGAGAACATGTCTACAAATTCATTGAAACTGAGGTTCCCCATCCCATCCTCGGAGAATGACTCCACAATCCGATTGCGGAATGGGTTTTCCTGTACATCAGGCAAAAATATTCAGAGTGATACAAATGACGTTAAGCAAAAATATTCTGAAAATGTTCTCATTTTACATGAGAATCACTTATGGTTTTAGTGGCTGAGTAATTTGGCAAGACATTAATAAAAAGAGTTTTAGAAATAGGCATATGATTTTGCATACTGCATTTATTGGCCAAAAACTTCAGAAGATGCTATTCAAACCAATCTGGCCCAAAAATGTTTGGCTGGTTTCTTTAAGCTTTATACAATAAGATTAGGCTGATTATATATATATATATGTGGCTAAAAATAAATGATGACCTCTAATCAAGAAATAGATGTAGGTTAACAGTTCAGAATGCAGGTGAAATTTTAAGAAAGACCAAAATGACAAATTATCAGATGTTTTGAAAAAGCTTTGAAAAATGATTATCTTTGTTATACCTTTAATTCTGGCATGTCAACAATCAGCGCTAAAGGCAGTTTACAATCCGGTTCATTGGTGTAGTCCATTGGTACAAGATGTGGAGCCAACTCATGATATCTGCTGTGCAACCTAAGGTTAAATACAAAGCAGATGGGAACAAATACAATTTATAATTTGCAAAATATACCATCCATGTTAAACTATGGATGGAAAGTTTAACACTTTCCATCCATAGTGTTAAAAATGACATCAGCCAAACCACCAAAGCTACAACAGCTTTGACCTTCCTTGCAAGGCTGTCTCTTGAGTTTAGAAGTGTAAGTAGGTATTTTCTATCCTTCATTCAGAAGCAAATTTGGTAGACAAGAAGGCATGGCTCTCTGCATACGAAGGAGGTAATTCGACAATAACAGACCTGAATTTAGACACGTGTAAAAGCTGCAGGACACGGGTCTTTGAGCAATGGATTTGAATACTCCTGCTAGCATGTTTTCTGCTAGCTGTGAATTTCTGGAAATGTATGCCACACCTTTTAACCACTGCAATTGATGGAACATTCTTTTTAAGGGAAAGTTGGCTACGCAAATTTAGTCTGTGTTGCCGCTGTGCCAAAAGGGAACTTGCAGAAACCCGTTGAGTAATATTAGTTACCATATGGATGTTAAACAGATATCTGAAAAGCTCACATTTAACTAAAACTTTTGCTTTACCCAACTTATTGTTTCCTCTTAGGACAAAATATGGCTACCCTCAAATTCATTTCGTAGAAAGTCATAAAGAGCCAGTATAAACACTCTATTTACTGTCACCTTTACTTTTCACAATCTTCTTTGTGAACCTTTTTTTTTTTTTTTAAAGATTTTTTTTATGGCTCAGGCAGCCTTTATTTGAGAGTGGTTAGATAGGAAAGTAGGTAAAAGTGGGGGAGGACATGTGGCAAAGGTCACCAGGTTTGGGACTTGAACCTGTAACCTCTACACTGATGACAAGGGCCTCCATATGAGGGTTGTGCTTTATCCCTGTGACACCACAGCATCCCCTTCTTTGCGAATCTTAACATAATAGCTTAATTTTTCAACGTCTATGAACTAAACATACACTGAAACATGAGCAACACTACTCAGCTCCATGAAGAAAAACATAGGTCGTTTTTGCATGTCAGTCTCCTGGTGAGTGATATGAAAGGAGAGGTGATGCTACCCATCAATTCATAATTTTTCAAGATTTTGAAGTGTCCTCATACTCCAGTGCAGCAAAATTCTCTTGATCTCCATGAACAACCTCCTCTAGCCTTCATATTTTAGTCAAGAGCAAGTTCTGAGATACTGAATGAGCCTTATTCACCGTCATTCTTGACCCCAGTTTTCTGTTTGTTTTCCTGACTGCATTTTGCTTACTGGCACTGATCAGTTCATTTGCCTGTAATCACTTAGGAAACACTTTATGCAAAGCAGATTACAAGTGAGAGACAACATTCAACCTTCATATGGTTAACAAACCTTTACATGACTTTTGGGTGATAAATCTGGTTAAGCTGCAGACTAAAAGGCAACAGAAGAAGAGGGCAAAGTAAATCCAGCTTAAGTTTGTCAATGTTTTGGGCAACAGGAAAGGAGGAGTACTTGGAAGACATCAATGAATCAACTTAAAAGGAACCTTATCTCAGACCTACTCAAAATGTATCTGTTTCAACACAAATAAGAGTATTCAACAAACTCATATTTCATAAGGTACCTTTATCAAAAAGGTACCAAGATTCTCACACTATTCTGCCAAAGCCATTATTTTCCAGCTGGAAACTATCGTCTTAGACTTTGAAATGTATTTCTCATAAATCTGTAGAACATCGGTAGAACATCTAAGATAACAGGAAGTCTGGAGAGGTTATTGTTTATTGTAGAACCTTGTTTAACGAGGAAACTTTAACATGCATTTAACATGCAGGCTAACATAATCACTGATTTCATGGTCAAAACATGTGGTCAAATGTTTAGTCTGGTGATCATCAGAACAAGCACATTGTCAATTAATCCGAATCAAACAATACAAAGAAAAATATCTTACCGCAAAATTTCTTTGCGAGTAAAAAATGTGCAGTCCTGCAATAAGAGTAGACAGAAGATCAAAGCTCTAGTTCAAAAGAAATGCAGTATTTAAGTCAATCAGACACAACACACTACTAACAGGTGGAAATAATAAAATGCTCATCTCCTTGTCATGTCACCTGTTAGATTGCCTGCAGTAGAGGAGCAAACTGTCCTCAGAGTTAACATGTTAGAAGCAGAAAAAATGGGACAAATTGTGATAGGTAGACGAATGGTCAGAGCATTTCCAAAAATGCAGCTCTTGTGTTGCATTGATGTTGCAGTTTAGTGTTTATAAAAAGTGCTCCAAGAAAGAAACAGTGATAAACTGAGTCACTGCTGCGCATAGGAGGCAAAGAGGCATGCTCATGCTGGTCATATTATTATGCCTCATTAATTGATGTGTATTTTTTTAATGACTTATTGTCTGAAATATAGCATCAGCCTGCATCAGTCACTCAGTGACCCATCTATCAAATCATATTAAATAGTGTTACAGATGTTCTAAATGTAGCACTGGTCTCACACTCGGTGCTACGTGGTTCTGCAACTTTTAAATGACTCTCTGCTTCAGGACACCTGGTTTGATATTAGCTCATTAACAGAGCTCTGTAGACATTGACTGCGTGTTAGTGAGGCATTTAGTTCAAGTGTATAGGACAAGGAACACATCTTAAAGTTACAGAACTCGGATCCTTGAGAACTGCAGTTTGAGACCGCCGATAAAAAGCTTGACCGAGTGTCTGGTTTCTCTAAAGCGCTGATGGCTGTGAGTACACACAGCAACATGATCTGCTGTTGTCTAATATGCATGTGTTTGCACATGTAATATCCAATAGCCCAACAGAAGAACGCCTTAGTTTACGTCAGCCTTTTGTACTAGCTGACCTGTGTTCGTAGGTGTAAGAAACAGTATACAGCTGTGGATTTCTAGAACAGAGTGTACTGTAAATGTCTGGAGTATAACAGTGATTGTGTCTTACACCATATGCTTTAGTTTAGTACGTATCCTATGTTTGTGTAAATGCCTCTGAAGCTCAGAAAGACGCTCGAGCTGTAGGGGTCAGAGCCTGAAAATCTGAATAGCAAAAAATACCAACAGGACAAAACAAAGAGCAATGGGATTCTAAGAGGAATGTTTAAAGAGCCACTATAGTAACCAGCGCGACTCTTGAGAACTAAGCTGAGTCCTGAGAGTAGAGTTTCACAGCATATCACTGGCTTGGCATCAATTATTAATCCCATAGCAAATCACAAGGTGAACTGTTGCACACGGAGTGGTGCATTATCAGACTGATACTTGGATTACTAGTTAAACTGGACAAATTTGTTTTTTTTTTTTCATACAATGAGTTTGTGTCCATTCTTCAATGTCAAGTCTAATCTGATTGTCAAGTCAAACAGATCATTTTAAATCATTCCTTCATTGAACAAGGAGCTTAGAATACAATGCAATTAATTGTAGATACCAACTTCCTATTCTAAGTTTTCAATATGAAAAACAAAAGAACAATAATGCAAACAAGTATAGATAATGCCTAACATTAAAATAAATTACAGCAAATAAAATGGAGTACAAAACTTCACTTTTGCAACGTTATTTTTCTCTCATTGTTATCTTGTTCCGAAAAGACTAGAGCAGGGACAATTGCATTGATAAACCTTAAAAGTCCTATATGCTCTGTTAAGTAACCTAACAGAAACTGAACAGAAACTTGACACACTTTTTTACTGTTCTAAAGTCCTTAGAGTAATAATAATAATAATAAAAAACAAACTCAGTCAGACCTCGAAGGAAAAAAAGCCTGAATGGTTCATCTCTAACTTTATCTAAATATCTTTCAATTCAAAATGCTTATAATATGTTTTGTATAAGAAATATTTTTTTCTTGTAAGGAAGCTATGCATCACTTTCCTCCATCCTCCATCATAATACAAACAAAGCATGCATTCATCTTACCTGATAAGCATCAAGTTGCTCGTCTGTGAATATTGTTTGCTTATTACCCATCTTTATCAAGTAATTTGTTGCTTGTACACATTCAAAGCAAAGAACGTCCACCACCTTTTCTCAGAGAAAGGCATTTAGGGGGTCGGTGGAGTCAAAGTCTCCACACAAGTTGAGCCGAGTATTGTTGCAAGAACTTAAAAAAGATTGTTGTTGATGTCCATTCAGGAGATTCCTGCCATGAGAGCAAACATTTGCTGGAAAATAAAATTAAAAAAGACCGTGGAGCTGGTGTCTTGTCACAGTTGAGCCAGAGAAGTGGATTTTTCTGTAAGCCCTGTTCAGCGCAAACTGATCTGCTTGTCCTTAAGAACCCAGGTGGTGTTTCCAACAGGGTGCAGACAAACCAATCAGACAACCCACAGGTAGATAAATAAGTAAACTTGAACTAGAACCTGCTGGCAACAAGGTTGATATAACAGCAAAGAAGGTCCTAGAACTTCTATTGAACTATCACTTTATTTGATAAATATTGAAAAAAAATATTCTAAGGAGATCGTTTAATGAGAGGCCTAATTTATATTAAATCCTGTTAATTATAAAGACCTATATAGTACCTTACTTCTAGTACTGAGAGCCTACATTGATTATAAAAGTCCAGGTAGTAATTTGATTAACTAACTAAAGTTAGAAGTTTAATAATAATAATAATAATAATAATAATAATAATAATAATAATAATAATAACAATAATTATTATTATTATTATTATTATTATTATTATTATTATTATTATTATTATTATTATTATTGTTGTTGTTGTTTAGTTTTTATCAAATAACCTGTTGCACCTGAAGTAAAATAAACTAGTTTATCTTGAGCTCCAGAGATTATCGCTTCCCTGCAAACTCTGCCCCCCTTTGAGCTGCAGAGGCTGGTGTGATGTCCATCTCTAATCCACCTGCCTGTTATTACAGCACCAATGAGCGTGTCCTTATTCCACCTCTGGACAAATGATAATTTCACGCTCCGTAAATAATTCCTGTCTTGATTTGCGCTGGTTTAATTGTCACCCTTTGTGACATTTGTTTGATTTCTAACTGTCAAAGTTGCCCAGCATGGACTGTAAGCGAGAAAAGGAGCAGGGTAAGTTTCACTGATAGCTTGTTGCTACGTTACTGTGTTAGCCTCTAGCAGCCTGTGCTAACTGTAGCTAACTGTGTCCAGAGAGAAAATGAAGCTAACAACGCGTCTGTGCTTGTTATTCTTCCTGTTGCTTCGTCATCTCTGCAGAAAAAAAAATAAACATGAGCTCTACTACTATTTTATTTTACACACCCGCTCTCTTTTTAAATGTTAAATGATTATCATATTTTTTTTCTAGCTGCTGCCATAGGAACGACGCTCACTGTTAGCACAAATTTAGCTAACATTATTTAACGCTATTGCTAGCTGACCGTAAAGAAAGTTCACATTTCTCATGTATTTCTTCTCAAAGATAAGACACAATTGGTGCTCCTATTTTTTAATCAATAATGTTTTTCTACTTTGATTTCCTCTTGTTTACAATTCAGTAAGCTAAATTAAAACAAAAAAACAACAACATTAAAATAACCGACTGGTATTTTCATATAAAAAGACACCGTCCTCATTATCTATGGTTCAGTGAGTGAGGAGAATTCATGTGTAGGACTCATAGTGCCTTAAGCACAGTAAAGCAAACATACCTCCCTCTGCTGTTACTCATGCATGCTAGTGGGATTATAACATTACACAACAGTGAGCACATCAGCACATCTGTCTGTTGTGACCCTCTCCTTTGTAAAAATGCTCTGTGTGCTGTCAGGAAGAAAATAAATAATAATATGCTGCTTCTATTTAAAGTTTCTTTTCCCTTCGCTGTTAACAGAACAAACAGTGCTTCCAGCGTTATCTTTTGCATCGCTGAGTCACAAATTATAGGATCTGTAGTTGTACTGCATATTTAAGAATAGAAAGTGAATGTGCTTTGTTTTGTGCGGTCTTATCATTCTGGTTCCCTCAGATGCAGAGTGTGAGAAGGTAACCGCTTTGCTGCTGAAGTCACGGACTGGAGAATTTGATTTGGAATCCATTCTGTTTCTGAAACTCAGAGTCCTTGGTAAGGATTAGTGCACGTTTTTAATGTTCATGTTCATTAAGTTACTATTTATAAAAAAATAACTTTTTGTCTTTAAGGTATACATGACCTTGGATGTATTGGGGAATGTGTAAATTTGGAGAGGCTGGACCTATTTGGGAACAATGTCACAAATCTAGGACCTCTATCATCTCTTCGTCTTCTTTCTGTGCTTAATTTGTCTTCTAACAGAATCTCTAATATAGGTAAGGTAAACGGGCTTTATTTCATTTTTTTTTCAGAATGACATTGTGTAATATTTATTTGTGTTCTCTGTTTTTGGTTGTTTTCCCAGAGCCACTTCGTAGTTGTGAAAATTTACAAATTTTAAATTTAGCTGGTAATGTCATATCCAGGTATGTTACAAGTTTACATGCTAACACCATTGCAAAACAATATTTTAATCATCTATGAAAATGAATCAGAACTGATCATTTTGAATTGCTGGTTAATGTCACCGATTATGAATTTGATAAAGTTTTTCTGCCATTATTCTAGTTTTACAATGTATACAAATACAGTAGATTTTACTTCAACTCATTTGATGAATGCTGAAATGCATCATAATATTTAGATTTTGTCACTTATTAACTAAGGTCTATGCTAAATGAGATATATATTTTTTTTAAAAAAACTTATGTCTAATGTGCTGTTTTTCAACAGCACTGAGAGCCTACATTGCCTTGTTTCTCTGAAAAAGCTAGAAAACATACGTCTGAGAGACAACACCTACAATTACAGTAACCCAGGTAATTTATGAGAAATTTATCTGTAATTCCAGTAAATGGAAGATGGTGATTAATGTTCGTTATGTTGCTGCTTTGGTTTTGTCAGTGTGCAGGAGCGCATCATACAGAGCTGTTGTACTCGAGATGTTCCCGAACATCAAGGTTCTGGATGGTAAGATTTATTTTTCTGTAATTCTTTATCTTGGCAATATTATTAGTCCTGAAGACATTGCTGTGTTTTGGCTGAATATGCTTATATTATCTGTTTTAAATTACAGGAGAGAGAGTTGTTGGACGAGGAAGTGAATTGTACCAGTTATGCAAAGACATTGATGATACCATAAAAGGTTTTTTTTTTTTTTCTTTGCTGCAAATATATGTCTATTCAATAATGAACAACAGTCTTACATGGATGTGTGTTTAATGCAATGTTTTTTTTTTTTTGTAAAATATCGTTGAACTGTTTATTTTTCTCTACATGATCAGCTGGTTCATACAAGAATGGGCAGCTCATTGAACATCCCGATTGCAAGCCATGGGTAGAAGATGGTTACTGGGAGATAAAGCGATCAAACAATGCCATTATTGAAGAAGCCTACAAACAGTTCAATGGTGAGGTTCGCTGTGTTTTTTTTTTGTTTTGTTTTTTTTACCATTTGTCAACTCTTTTGACATTATGTATACTGATATTACAAGTGCGCCTCAATACATTAGATGAGCATCAAAAGTTTATCCAAAAATATTTGCAATTGTGTATATAATGATTCTCCTTTTGAGTTTCACTTTTAAAAATAAATAACAGTATTGAACTAACTTCACAGTGTCATTCTAATGAATTAATGTCACCTGTTCATGTAATTCTTTTTTTTTTTTCTCTCCAGATGTTCTTCACGAATGCAGACTCTTGAACAACAGAGCCACTCATGTGATTTCCCAGACTGAGAGATCAATGAGCTTGAAGAAGCAACCAAAGCAATACGCCATCTGAATTGGGCTATTTTGTACAAACCTTTTATGTAACTTTCAGCCGCCTTTTTTTGCTTTGTAATGATGTACTATGACAGATGTACTGTAGCTTTTTTCAAACAACCATGCTATATCCAAATGCTTTTTAAATATCATTGCCTGACACACGTGCTCCGTGCCGCAGTGTGTGAACTTCGCTGTTACTGTATTCATCCTATGCATTGGTTGACAGAATAAATACGGAGGCGGTTTGAAAACCTTGACCCATACTGATGCCCCTCAGTTTGGCTCATCGATGTCTTAACTTGCACAATGTGCATTTTGTACAATGCTGTAGCCTGAAATAATGCTAATAGCTATGCTGCTCATTGGAATTTGTATTGGTCTTTGCTTACAGGGTGTCCTTAATTTTACGTTGCTGGTTAATTTAAAGAGTAAATGTTGTTGTATGTTCTTGTTGTGCTTATGCAAAGATTGACTGATTGATTGTTGGCTCTTTCTTCTTTTTTTTTTTTTTTTTTTTTAAATCATAGGGTTTCTCTGTGTAACCAACTTGCTGAAAATACATTATTTGTAAGCCTGTAAATGTGTTTTTAATTCTGACTTTGATTATTTAGAATAAATTCAGATAAGATGCATACCTATATCACCCTCTTTACAATCAGAGCAAAATATGCATATTGTGATGAATTTGTTAAAACAAATGTGATCTTTATAAGTTATAAGGCAGTCCAACAAATAATACCATGCTGCCACCTGCTGGTGATTGTCCAATACACTTATAACACTCATAAATAACCTAACGCAGACATTAGACACGCATTGGAAATGTTTGATATTTATCTGTAATAGAAACGTTGACATTTAGTTTACTGCGTTTCCTTGTTGAAGAAAGTAATTATTTTAACCACTATAAACAGGTACAGTCATCGGTTTGTATTTTAGCTGATTTTGTTTATTTTGAAAGCCGGAAGTTTGCGTTACATCTTTTCAGCTTGACAAGTGCCGCCGCCGCCGCTCCTCTGAGCTCGAGCTCGTCTACCTCAAGATCGCAGGAAACATGTGGAGGTCAACGGTATGCATCCATAAAATTGACCTTACTTTGTTTTATGCAATTCACTAAATCTTGTATTCTTTGTGTCAGATTTTTGTAAATTGCTTTCAAGCTGAAAAAGGAAGATAAAGCTACGAGGATGATTATACTTATTAAAAATGAGCTACAGCTTTATGGTTACTATAGTAACTAGAATCTTGCTAATTTAGTAGCTCACTGGCTAAACTGCATGGTTTATCCGCTCTCTGCAGATCATTTTGGGAGCTGTTTCTGTTGAAGATAATTTTCTTGTTAGACCTAACAAATAGCAACACATGTCTACTGTCTACAGATTATTCATCTGCTAACAAAGTTTGGTTTCTATATCAATGGCAAGGACAAAATCAAACCACAGCAAGTAAGTTTAGTCTGTTTGGCTATGC